ACTCCCACCAGCAGTGGAGTAGGGTTCCTGTTTCCCCACAGCCCCACCAGCATTTGTTATTGGTTGATTTCATGATGGCAGCCATTCTTTCTGGAGTGAGGTGGAATCACAGTGTTGTTTTCATTTGCATCTCTGGAATGACAAGTGATGCTGAACATTTTTTCATATGTTTATTTGCTATTTCCACTTGTCTGAGAAATGTCTGTTCATTTCAGAAAGGAATTTTTTATAAACCTTTGCCCTGTGCATACTGATGGAAATAAAATTCAGATTATTTATGAATTTAAAAACAATAAGTCTGACTTTATAGTATGTCATTTAAAATTTCTATTTGGAATGAAGGATAAAAATAATGTTGCAATTTATTTTTTATTAGTATATGTTTGCATACATAACAACTGCATTTGTTTGGGGGACCTGGTATATATACATATCACATCTTGATTGTTTTTATTCCCCTTTCCCCCTCCCCTTCTGCCCCCTTCCCATCTCCAAAAAGTCCACTTCCATTTCCTACCATCTCCCCTTTATTTTGCTCTCTATTTATATTTTGGGTTCCTCATGTAAGAGAAAACATGCAATATTTAACTGTGTCTGATTTATTACACTTAGCATTCCAATTTATTCTTTTTTTGCGTGTGTTCTTTTTTTTTTTCTTAAATTCTTTTATTGGTACATTTTAGGTATACAATAAATTTTCCAATTTATTCTTAATTGTGACATTCCCTACACTTTTAAAATGCAAAACACAAATTCTTTCTTCAAATAAAAATATGTACATATTAAAATTATTAATCTATCTAAACTGAAAGAAGAGATATTATCTGGAATAATTCTGAAAATTCCTACCTTTTCTTTGCAGCTGGAAAGCATGCTAATAATGCTAAGACAAACTGACTGGACTGAGAGCGCTGGGGACCAGTCTTCTGTTAGAATGGATAAACAGATATGACCATTGCTATAAACATGAGGATGAACGGGAATATTTTCACCAGTAAACATGACCTAAGAAAGAATAAAATTCCATTAACACTCAAATATTCTCAACTACCAAAAACTAAGTATTTTCCACATATAACAAATATTGATTAAATAAATAAAAACCAACCAAAATTAATGCCAGGAACAGATAAACAACTGCTTATTTTTTTCTTTTCATTAACTCAATAAGTACCAGTTTCACTGTATAAATAATCCATGTAGTAAAGGGAAAAAAATCTAGATTATTTTATATTTTATTTTTCATAAATTCCCTTTAAAATTTCTAAATTGCTATGTAATTTTTTGCTAGTGAAATACAGGCTACATTTATATGAATGGTTTTTCAAATTCTACCCATGACTCTCTGCAAATAAGAGTCAACTAACAACAGTATTCCATTTTGAGACAATATGAAAAAGATGGTAAGAATACCCCATTACCTCCAACAGCACCTAAGGTAGTATGCAAAAGAAAATGAATATTATATATTCCATCTCCCCTAAATTTTCATTATGATGGGCACAAATTACAAACTAATAATTAGCAAATAACTCTGTCTAGATGGCTGGGGGAGGGCAAAGGTTGACTGAGTCTTCAAATTACTTTTCTGTTTTTCTCTTTCCTTTTACTCAATTTTTCTAATACTTTTTCCTTTTTCCATCTTGTCTTAGCACTGCTTTGAATGGTAATATATCTTTTGTTTCCTTTCTTTGACCTAATAATTCAATAAATAGACTAACAGTTGTGTTTCTTGAAGAGGCTGCTAAGGAAAAGGAAATTGATACTGTTGATAATCCTGTCCTCAGACACCCACTTGTCTCTCAGGGGCATATGTGTCTCTCCCACCTGTTTCCACCAGAGGTTAGTGCCCCAGAGAGATCCAGTGTTTACAAAAGATCCTGGTAGATTTGCAGATAGGCCCTCAGACTCCTATGACCCAATTGCTGCACACGGCTTTTTCTGTGTTCAACAACTGGGATCTAGATGAAGATAAAAGGAGAAGGGCTGAGAGACAAATCAAAACTATGGCTGTTGTAACTGGCAATGCTATAAACACACCCAAGCAGGCCAAGGGAAAACTCAGGCCTAATCAAAACCTGCAGGAAGACTGGACACTGGCTATGTGAGTGTGTCAAGCCCTGGCCCTGGCCTTGCTCCGTGTGTTAGGTGGCCAATGTGCCTGATTCATGGCACTGGAGAATTGACTTCCCCTGCTCCTAGAGAGGGGGTAGGCCAGTCAATCCCTCACTTCCCATTTTGATTGAAGACTAAATAAAGGGGCCTGGGACAATCTGCAATGATTCAGTCCACATACATTTCCATCTCCTATGAAAAACCACAGGTGACCCTGCACATCATAGGTAAGCAAATTCAATTATTCTGTTTTAACTTCCTTCTCTGGAAAACCCTCAGCTAGATCTATAGCCACAGTTGGGGTTGAGGGGGAGCCCTAGTGGGAATTTCTTTATACCTTCTTTGACATATCAATTCAAAGGTCAATTGTTTAACTATGAGTTTTTAATTGTCCCATGGTGTTCCACTCCCTTACTAGGAAGAGATTGATGAGTAAAGTTAGAGGGAGTCAGTCTTCCCAGGCTCATTGCCGTCATTCATTGTAACAGACACCAAAGAGACATGTCTAAAGTCTCTTTGGGAAATCAAAGGGCTGATAGGCAAGAAGGACAGCCTTACAACCCCTCAAGACTCTAGCCTTACTTCCTGTTTCTGAAGAACCACAGAAACTGGTCCTTCTTCCAGGGATGCAGTGAAAAGCTGTAAAATCTTACATTGGAAATGGTCACTCAAATTTTCACACGACTAGGACTAGAGGTGACTACCCAAAAGGTCTACAAAGCTTGTCCACTAATTCTGCCAACCTCAGACTAGATCTTTTTTTAGAATCTGTGCAGAGGAGAGGGCCATACCTTGGGGAGGACTGGCAATTATAAAGCCAGCTCCAGCTCAGTTGTCTGATTAAAAAACCACCAAAAGAAGAAAGCCACTCCTATGAACCCCTGGAAGACCTCAGGTGCCTCTTCAAAAAGCAAGACTCCGGTACTATTCTGAGTGCACATAGAGTTACTAATGACCCCTAATTCACCACAGTTTAAATGGGCACTTTTACTGAGACTCCATTTTTAATTAGATCTATAATGTGGATAATCTTGTTAAGATTATGGCTCTCAGGCTCTTAGTAATTTATCTAATATTGCTCTTTGCTAAGCTTTGTCCACCACAGTAAACATGGAAATCTGACCTGCTCCTTCTAATAGTAAAGTTATTGTTCTGACAAATTCACCAAGCTTTCTCCCATCAAACAGGCAGCTGAACAACACTAACTTTCTTAACTGCCTTCTGACGGGTTTTCAACCCAACCCAGCCAGTGAGCCACAAACATCCAAGGTAGTTGGAGAGCACATAATCCCTAGTAGGTAAGGCCTATAAGCCCTTTCACAGGAAGTAGCCATATGAAGATGGAATCCACCACACCCTCAGCACCCCATATTTACGTCTCTCAGGGGGAAATGAGGTAGAGGATTAGGGCATGACCAACCAGCTGGGCAAGTGGGTGTAACCTGTTAAATCAGGAAAATCCAGGCCACATGTGCAAAAGTCCTGCACCTGGAATCAATCAGAAAGTACTATCTTCAATTCCTTGCTCAAGAACTCAAGCAGGTTTTTGACAGACTGGCCTAGGTCTATCATCACCCTGAGGAGTAAGAAATACCAAAGATGGCCACCATTAAGCTCTGCGTCACTGTACTCTGCTCAAGTGGTCTGGTTTCACACTGTTAGAGTGAACTTCTTTTCCTACTTTTAATTGGCCCACATTCACTCTGCAGAGAATGTTTCTTTTCCTACCTTTAATAAATAAAACCCACTACTTTAAAAAAATAAAGACTAAATCAGTTTACTATGTATAACAGTCTACAATAAATGGTAAATATTTGATAAAAATAACTAGGGATTGAAATTTTAGCACACTTTTCAATGCAGTTTCCCCTTTTTAGTTCTCCAACATGCATCAATAGTTTTCCCTGATTCTCCACAATTACCATTACCATGCAGCTTTCCATATATTGCAGAGACCAAATTCTTGGGCACAATGAAACTAAACTTGGATTCCCCTGGATGGTAACCATTCTTTCCTATACTTGTTATTTTAGCTTTCCTTCATCTTCTCCGCTCCCTGCTTCATCCAGAAAGCTTCAATGGAATACTGTTCACTATTCACTTTCTCCTCATCAGGTATCTTAGATGCTGGACAATCTTAGGCAATAAAAATTATTATTCAAGAAAACCCAACCACTTGAGAAGCTTGACCACCATTACATGAAGGAGCAAGAAGAGAAATAACAAATCAGGAAGACACCATAAAAACAGATTCTGGATCTCTGCAATGAAGAAATTTAAGAGGAAAAAATGGTACATGTTAAGGGTCTATATATGAGAGGAAGAAATGAGGATGAAGGAAAAAATAATTAAACTTTTGTCCCAGTACTTCTAAATGGCTTTTATAATCAAGGAAAACATACTTTCAGTTTTGATCTTAGCATCAATATGGCTTCAGGATCAAACACAATATTTCCTTCCCTCTAAAATAAATATTCCACATTTTCCCAACAAAAATTATATTTGAAAAGTTTAATAACAAGTACACTGAGGTATTTACAAAATAATATGGGTGCATTTCATATATGTTTCTTTCAAATAGATTGTTTTCACAGAAGAAGTAGGTTTAAATAGTGGATTTTTTTTTTAAATAATGGATATTTGAAGGAAAGAAAGAACTAATATCAAGGAGGAGGCAGAGATGAAAAGACGCAAAAGTTAAGATACTAAGCCTGAGGACTTTACATTTTCTATGGACACTGGCCATGCTTCCCAATGCCTGAGATAAATATCCAATTTATTCATATTGCAAGACCCTCCTTGATTAGCCCCAAAATATCCTTCCACTTGTATCAACAGCCTTCCATGTGTCTATATATAAAACTACAAAAGCAATTGCTCACTAATGTCACAAGAGACCACATCCTTTCAGGCCCAGCCCTATACTTTTCACATAAATGCTTCATGTCTTTCAAAGTCCAGTTCAACCAAGTTGTCTTAGTTACTTTTCTCTCATGGCTGAGATAAAATACTCAACACCCAAAGTTAAAGGGAAAAATGTTTATTTAGCACACAGTTCATAGCGGTTTCAGTCCACAGCTGGCTCCAAGGCAGAGTGGCACATGACAGAGGGGCACTGCAGAGGAGAAAAACAGTTCACAGCACCCACAAGATAGCAAAAGCAACAAGGGAAGTCCAGGGATTTAGCTCAGTGGTTCCGCCGCCTGCCTCGCAAGAGCAAGGTCCCGAGTTCGATCTCTGGTACCAAAAATAAATAATAAAATAAAAAATAAAGTGGGTTAAAAAAAAAAGCAACAAGGGAACCTTAACAGCTTCTTTCTGCCCCTTTTATACTCTAGGCTATTGGGATTAGGGCTTCACTAAACCAATCATCAGACTGATTTAGTAATCACATGCCCTTAATCCCAGCATCACACACTCTAGATTAAGCCATCTCCGAAGAAAAAAAAGTCCTACACCTCATTCACAGGAGGTTTTGGGGGGGACATCTAGACACAAAACAATATTCTCCCCCTGGCCCCCCAAAGACTCATGTATATTCCTTTACGCAAAAGGCATTTAGTCCATCTCTAAGAGTGACCCAAGTCCTAACAGTTTCAGCATCGCTGAAAAGTCCAAGTCCAAAGTCTCCTCTGAGATTTAAGGCAAACTCAGCGGTCAGCCCCTATACAAATGAAAAGAAAGTTAAACACTTTCAACATACAATGACACAAGATAAACGGTACCATTTCACAAGGTACAAAAAGGGGGAGCTACAAAGGAATAGGACCAAAGCAAGACCAAAATCCAGTAGGGCAAACATTAAATCCCGGTTTCACTTCCAGCATCCCTGGCAATCTGTGGCAAGTTGTGAACTCCAAAGGGCCTGGGGCTCCACCCCTAAGGCACTT